ATATATATATATGAAGGACCGCAGTGGCTCTGTATAATAAACAGTAGACTTCAAACCACAAGGTTAGCATTTCAGCCCACCAGCAGCTCCATGGGAAACAGGTGATACTTTCTGCTCCTGCAAAGATTTACCATCTCAGAAACCCTAAACAAGGTTGCTATGAGTCAGAACCAACTCCACAACACTTAACAATAAATGAGTGTGTATTTACAGTTGCCTTTCTAGAAGTTTTGTTGAAAACAGCTCAACAAATGGAAAGTACTGAAACATCGTGAACTTGAGATTTTACAAAATTTTATTATGTTTCTTTAATCAGCTCAGTCATAAGCAGATCAGTAAGTTTTCTATTAACTTGCATTCTTTTTATGTAGGACTCTGAAGATGGAAAAACTTACTTCGTCAAGATCCATGCCCCTTGGGAGGTATTAATTACGTATGCTGAAGTGCTGGGAATGAAAATGCCTATTAAGGAAAATGATATTCCCCCACCTGATCGAAACCCTTTTAGCTGTGTGCTTGGACCTCTGAAGCTTCAGAAGTCCGTGAAGCAACCTTATCCGGAATATTTCACTGCACAATTCTCCAGATATCGGCAGGAACTTTTCCTCATTGAAGATGAATCTACCTTCTTTCCATCCTCAGCAAGAAACAGAATTGTAGGTAGAAAATACCAGTGTGTATAGTCCATTAAGTAAAGTATGTGTCCCGGTTTGTGCTTTTGTACATAAGCTTGTGTGATATTATAATGCAGTGTTTTTTGTTTTGTTTTGTTTTAAACTTTTTATTGTAAATTGAATGAAGGTTTACAGACAGGATTATTAGCTTTACATTGAACAAATCAATCGTATACTTTGTTTTATCTCAATGTCTGCAGTTCCCTCCCTGCAACAACAGTTATCCTGATTCCTCCCTGTGTTTCTGATTTGCATTCCACCCACCTTCCAATCCCTTCTCAACTTTGTCCTTTGGAAAATGTTGCCCTTTTGATTTTGCATGATTAACCATCTCATGGTAAGGAGTCCTGGTGTGGCACTGTGGGCTAATGCATCAGATTTCAGTCCTTTGAACTGCACAGTAGGTGGTTCAAGTTTACCAGCTGCTCCTTGGAAACCCTATACAGGCTTGCTTTGGTTCAGAATCCACTCGACGATGGCACTTAACAACAACATACCTTACTAGTTTTGTTGTCCCCTTTTATATACCTATCTACTGCTTGCCTGAAGGGATGGTTAAGGGCCACAGTCTCAGGTTCCTCTGGTCTCTTTCTGACCAGTATGCCCAGTCTTTTTCAAATTTTTAAAAATAATTTTGAGTTTGTTCTACATTTTCACCTACTTTATTTGGGACACTCTAAAGAGGTTGTGGTGGTGTTTATTGTGTGCAACTGAGTCAGTTCTGACTCATCGCGACTTTGTATAGGGTTTCTGAGATTGTAAATCTTTAAGGGAGAAGAAAGCCTCATCTTTCTCCCATGGAGTGACTGGTATTTTTGTACTGGTAACCTTGTGGTTAGCAGCCCAGCTCATAAATCTATTTTACCAGGGCTCCTTAAAAAAGAGGTAAGGGAAATAAATTTAAAAAGTGCTAAGACCAAAAGGATAGAAATTAAATAAGAAAAAAAATCTCAAAAAGTCCAGGAACACAAAAATCAGATGAGATTGATTTTACAAAATTCAGGAACAGAGGACATTTACATGAAGAAGAAAATTAATGTAAAGATATAGTTTTTGCAAGGTGATTGTAGAGACATGATAATCTTTGGTTAATATATTTAGGAGTTAGAAGCAGGCTGTGTATAAATCATGAGGTAACTGAAAAAACTTGAAGAGTTGACTAAGTATCAATTCCACGTCCTAGTCCCCTAACTGAATCATTAGTAGCAGTGGTATTAAACTCCAACTTGAACTGCTGATTATAGTAGGAATTCTTGCACAAAGGACTCCTGGATGATCTAAGAACCAGAAAAGCAAAGAAATTTATGATCCATCCCAGGATACTGGAAAGCACTCACATCCAGGAGCTAACATACTTGCAAACGCCACACAAAACATGCTCTACATCTTCTTGAAATAGTAAAGAGAAGCGTCCTTCTCTAATCAAAGTCTATATATATATATATATGGAACTCTGGTATCATAGCAGTTACGAATTGGGCTGCTAACCTCAAGGTCGGCAATTCAAAACTACTAGCTGTTCTGTGGGAGAAAGATGAGGCTTTCTGCTCCCATAATGATTTACAGCCTCAGAAACCCTGTGAGGATCGCTATGAATTGGAATCAACTCCACAGTAGTTAACAACAACATCAAATATATATACAGACAAAATGAATATTTTCTTAGCAATTTGAAAACATATAAGTAAAAAGTTCTGAAATATGATTGTATCACTGTGTTTGCCTTGTAGGTTTACTATATTCTCTCACGGTGTCCTTTTGGTACAGAAGAGGGGAAGAAAAGATTTGGGATTGAAAGACTACTAAATTCTAACACATATTCATCTGCCTACCCACTCCACGATGTAAGTGTAAAAGTAATTTTGAAATAGGTTTATTTTTACTCTCCCATTTTCAAAGATTGCCTTGTTGAGAGAGGCCCCTCTTCCACTGGCTTCCCCTTTTATGATAGATTGCTAGATTCCTGTTCATGCTGAGAAAATTCCCAAAGACTTCTTTACACCAAGCTGAGAAGTCTACTTACTATTTTGAAACTCTTCTTGTTATTAATGCCTCCTTAAAGTGAGTTTTCAAATGGATATTCATCAAAAACAATTATGTTTGCATATGGATTTTTGTTAGAACCCATTTTGAAAATTAAAAATAAAACCCATATATATATATATATATATATATATGGCAAGTCAAACTTAATAAGTTCAAAACCAAAGTGCTAATCTTTCCTCCAAAGTCTAGTTCTCCTGCAGGACTCCCTTCATCTCAATAAACAGCAATTTCATCTTCAAAACAAGAAAAAAAAATTCAGACAAATAGCTGAGAGTTATTGTTTGGTCTGGAAGATCAAAGCAACTGCATATATAGGATAATGAGTTTATTATATTAACTATTTCCATAGTTTATTTTCATAGATTCTAAAACAATCCTGTATTTATCTTACTGATTATCTGTAAAATCTTTTAGTGTGTAAAACTACTGAGCTTTATCAGCACCCATGAAAAATGATATAAGACGAAGCATGTTATATGGTACATCCCTTGAATCAAAACTGAAAACTTTACTTGGCAACCAAGACTTGATCTCACTTCTCAGAGTAATTAGAGAATAACCTTAGATATTTAAGGTTTGAATTTCACAACTATTAGCAGATATTTAGATATTTGAGGTTTGAATTTCACAACTATTAGCAGATATTTAGATATTTGAGGTTTGAATTTCACAAATATTAGCAGACTTCCAAGAATCTCGGAAGTTGTTAAAAATTAAATAGAACCCATAAAGATCAATATCTTAGACATTCATGAGTTAAAATGGACTGTCATTGGCCATTTTGATTGAAACAATCTTGTGGTCTACTATGGCAAAAATGACAAATTGAAAAGAAATGATGTTACATTCATTGTCAAAAAGAACCTTTCAAGTTCTATCCTAAGCACATTGCCAGTAATTTGGTAATACTCATGCCTACAACTATTACTCAAATTTACCCATCAGCCACTAAAGCCAAAGATGTAGCTATAGAAGACTTCTACTAACTTTTGCAGTTCAAAATTGATCAAATATGCAATCAAGATGCATTGATAATTACTGATGATTGGAATGTGAAAATTGTAAAGAAAGACAAAAGGCCCATTTTTGAAAAATATGGCCTTGGTGAGAGAAACCACCCCAGAGACTGCATGGTAGAATTTGACAGAACCAACAACTTATTCATTGCAAATACCTTTTTCCACTACATAAATGACAACTATACACATAGACCTCACCAGGTGGAATACACAAAAATCAAATTAATTACATCTATGAAACCAGACTATAGAGAAGTTCAATATCATCAATGGGGAAAAGGTCAGGAATTGACCGTGGAACAGATCAATTGTTCAGATGCCAGTTCAAACTGAGACTGGAGAAAATTAAAACAAGTCCACTAGAGCAAAAATAGGATCTTGAGTATATCTCAGTTAAATTTACTGGGTATCTTAAAATGGATTTAATGCATTGAACATTAATGACCATAGACCAGACAAGTTATGGAAAACATCAAGTACATCATGCATGAAGAATGCAAACGATCATTAAAAAGACCATAAAGAAAGCAAAGATCAAAACTGATGTCAGAAGAAAATCTGAAATTTGCATTAGAACATAGAGAAGCTAAAGCAAATGGAAGAAATGACTAATTTAAACAGCTGAACAAACCTTTCAAAGGGCAGTTGGAGAAGGTAAAATATTATAATGAAATATGCAAAGACTTGAAGTTAGAAATCCAAAAGAGAACACAATGAACATTTCTCAACCTGAAAGAACTGAGGAAAAAATTCAAACTTTTACTTGAAATATTGAAAGATTTTATGGGGAAAATGTTGTATGATGAAGCAAGCTTCAAAAGAGGATGGAAGGAATACAGAGTCATTGTACCAAAAAGAATTGGTCAACATACAGCTACTTCAAGAAATAATATAAGATCAAAAAGCAACAGTGTGGAAAGAAATACAGACTGCATTGAAGATACTGGTGAGCAACAGGTTTTCCAGAATTGATGAACACTGATTTAATGTTTCAACAAACTGATGCACAGCAGAAGGTAATCACAAATACAACTATTTGTGCAGAGACATTTGGAAGACTGGTATCTGGCCAACCAACTAGAAGAGAAACATATTTGTGCCTACTCCGAAGAAAAGTGATTCAGCAGAATGTGGAAATTATTGAATAACATCATTAATATCCCACGTAAGTAAAATTTTGTTGACGTTAGTTCAAAAACAGTTACAGCAGTGCATAGACAAGAAACAGCCAGAAATTCAAGCAGGATTCAGAAGAGGATGTGTAATGAGTGATATCAGACAGATCTTGACTGAAAGCAAAGAATACCAGAGAGATATTTTCGTTTGTCTTAATAACTATTTAAAGACATTCAACTGTATGGATTATAACACTTCATTATGCTTATGTAGAACCTGTTCATAAACCAAGGAGGAAATCATTAGTACGAAACAAGGGATATTGTGTGGTTTAAAATCAGGAAAGCTGTTTGTTTGTCAGGGTTGTAACCTTTCACCACACTTACTATATGTATAGAGAGAGAGAAAGAGAGAGAGAGAATAAGTGTGGTTAAAAGGATCTCATTGATATATATGGAGCAAATAATCTGATGAACTGCATTATATGAGGAAGAATGTGGCATCAGGATTGAAGGAAGGCTTATTATCAGTTTGCAATATGAAGATGACACAACATTGATTGCTAAAAGTGAAAAAGACTTTGGACATGTTTTGAGGTGGAACTGGTCCCTGGAGAAGAACATCATGCTTGATAAAGTAGAGGGTCAGCAAGAAAGAAGGATTCCTTCAATGAGACTCAAATATAGCCATGATTATGATGATGGTACAAAACTGAGCTATCTGTGACAGAGTAATATTCAAAGGCCTATAAGGAAGACCAGTTAATGCCACTATTATTCAAATTTACATACCAACCACTAAAATCAGTAATAGTGAAATTGAAAAATTCTAATATCTTCTTCAGTCACAAATTAATCAAACATGCAATCAAAATGCATTGATAATTACTGGTAATTGGAATGTGAAGGTTAGAAAAAAAAGAAGGATCAGTTATTGGAAAATATGGTATTGGTGATAGAAATGATGCTGTAGAGCCCATGACATGATAGAATTTTCAAGACTCACTTTTTCATTGCAAATACCTTTTTTAAACAACATAAAAGCAACTATACACCTGGACCTCACCAGATGGAATACACGGAATCAAACTGACTACATCTAGAAGAGCTCTAGTAGTGTAGTGGTTATGAGTTGGGCTGCTAACCTCAAGTTCATCGATTCAAAACTACAAGCCATTCCATGGGAGAAAGATGAGACTTTCTACTCCTGTAAAGATTTATAGACTCAGAAACCTTATGTGGGGTCGCCATGAGTCGGAACCAATTCCACGGCACGCAACCACCACCACCATCATGGGAAGAGATGATGAAAAGCTCAATATTATCAGCCAAAACAAGGACAAAGGCAGACTATGGAACAGACCATCAACTCCTTATATGCAAGTTCAGGCTGAGACTGAAGAAAATGAAAACAAGTTCATAAGAGCTAAAATATAACCTTGAACATATCCCACCTAAATTTAGAGACCATCTCAAGAACAGATTGATGCATTAGACACTAATAACCAAAGACCCAAAGAGCTGTGGAATGACCAAGAACTTCATACATGAAGAAAGCAAAAGATCATTAATTAGACACAAAAGAAAGACCAAAATGGATGTCAGAAGACCTCTGAAACTTGGTTTTGAGCATAGAGAAGATAAAGCAAATGGAAGAAATGAAGAAGTAAAAGAGCTTAACAGGACATTTCAAAGGGCAGCTTGAGATGATAAAGTCAACTATTATAATGAAATGTGCAAAGAATTAGACGATCGAAAGGGAAGAATATACTCAGCATTTCTCAAGCTAAAACAAATGATAAAATTCAAGCCTTGGGTTGCAATATTTAAGGACTTTATGGGCAAAATATCAAATTATGCAGGGAGCATCAAAAGTAAATACAGAGTCACTGTACCAAAAATAAATGGTTGATATTCAACCATTTCAAGAGATAGCATATGACCATGAATAAATGGTATTGAAGGAGCACAGATTGCTCCTTCAGTACCATTAATAGAAACAGCACAGAAAGCATTGACGAAAACAAGTCTCAAGGAATTGGCCGAATACAAATTGAGATCTTTTAACGAACTAATGCATCACAGGATGTGCTCACTCACGTAGGCTAAGAAATGTGGAAGACAGCTACCAGACCAACTGATTTTAAGAGATCTATATTTTTGTCCATTGCAAAGAGAGTTGACTCAGTGAAATCATTGAACAATATCATTAATATTGTAAAATTAGTAAAATTTTACTTAAGGTAATTCAAAAACAGTTACCACAGTGCATCAACAGAGAAGTGCCTGAAATTCAAGACAGCTTCAGAAGAGAGCATGTAACTAGGGATATCATTGCTAATGTTAGATGAATCTTGGCTGAAAGCAGAGAATATCATAAAGATTTTGTTTGTTTGTTTGTTTGCTTGTGCTTTATTGACTCTGCAAAGATTTTTGATTCTGTGGATCATAACAAGTTCTGGATAATATTATGAAAAATGGTTATTCTAGAACACTTAGTTTTATTCATGAGGAACCTGAACATAGACTAAGGGGCAGTTGCTAGAACAACAAGAGGATACAGAATGATTTCAAATCATGAAAAGTGTGTACTAGGGTTGTACCTTTTCAAAACACTTATACAATCTGTTGTTGTTGTTCAGTGCAGTCGATTTGGTTCCCACT